TCTACGATCGAAATTAAGATGATTTTATTTTCTATTTTATTTATGTTTGGGTATTTTTTTATTTTTTGGGCTAATCATGTGAATACAATACAAATACTAATATAGAATTTTGTGCCTTAAATGAATTATGAATGTTTTTAATAACTCCTATTATTAATTTAATGCATATAATGGCCATGTGTATAATTAATAGCTTGTGTGATGTATTACTTTAATTGAGGAATATTGAAATGAATATGAATATTGAAATTAAATATTGACATGCCTAGACATATGATGTTTAATCTTTTAGGTTCTCTGAAGACATTAGAATTGTAGGAGGGCTATAAACATTCCCTTTCACCCTAACAAGCTCAAAAGGATATCTAGGGATACATATTCTCTGATCCACATTAGTAATTAAGAGTCTCAATAGAAAAATGTTATTAATTTGTAGACTATAGTCTAAAATATGTTTTATATATTGGTATCTCATCATCTTTTACATTTTGTATAATTGGTACGAACTCAGAACCCTTCATTTTCATTCAGTAGGATAAACCTTGCTACTGTAAAATACAGTACTAGCTTGATTGCAATCTAGCAGAATACTTCCTTGTGGGATCGATACTCTCAATTGCTTTATTCCTTGATCAATATGTATACTTGTGTATTGAGTGGACAATCTTTTTCAAAGTAAACATAAGCATTAATTGGCCCAAAGCCTTAAGCATTAATTGGCCCAAAGCATATTTTATTTCATGCATGCATTCAGCTATTCATGCATGTGTCTGTGGCCACATCTCTAATTTATCGCTCACCTCCTGAGTGATCATGTCAGCAAACTTTTTTCATATTTATAGATGTCATTGAAAACACTTCATTAGTTGGTTCAAATGTTTTCTCTTTCAAGTCAATTTGCCTGATCAATAAATAAATCTTAAATACAAAACAATTCTTTCAAAATAAAATAAAGAAATACAAGATAAATTCTTCAAATAAAATTAATTTATAAATGTATTTAAATAATAAATAAAGTAAATATTAGTGTAACCCAGGTTAAGAGTAATTTGTTTCAATAATAATTGCTATGATACTAATTATAACACCCTATAGGTTAATCCACTATCTTCAATTTGATCCGTAATTGACCTGAGTTTTGTTTCATCTCTCAAGTCGCTCGTACATTCAGGCTCCACGCAGTCCCTTGCCACAATGCACCCGCACATACAACACCCTCACACTAGCTCGCTAAGATGCTCTCACCTTCTCTTATAGGCCTGCATGCTCACACTCACTCTTGACCTACACACTCGCCAACTCACACCCGCACGATCTTGCTAAGCCGCCCTTACTCGTAGGCTGCAATTGCATAACTAAAGCTTGACGCTCGTAATAAGCACTCTTTTACCTGCAGGTTAGCGGGTAATGTCAGGTCAAACTAATAACATATAAGTTAAAGTGTGTGATTAAATTTATGTCTCATTTATTGAATTGGGTTGTGTTCAAATAAGTTTAATTGGATCCCGGTAAATTTTGGGTTCGATCTGAACCCGACCCGAATACCCATTTTAACACCTGTATATATTGAATAGCCACCACTGGCTATAAAAGAATACATAAACAAGAGAACTTAAATAAAATAAAGAAAGATCATCATTATATAGCCTCACACTAGAGGCTCCTTATCTTTACCTAAATTCATATAAAACTACATAATTAGCATAAAAGTGAAGTAAGTAACCAAAACTTACCACACCACCTTCAATGTAAGGCAATGAATTTAATATGCTTGCTCTAATTCTAATCAATATCAAACACCAACTAATATTAAAAAAAAAAACTAATATGTGTAAGAATAAAACTAATATTATTAGTAAAGTTAAAAAAGATCTAAAAAAAATCGATAAAGAGGACTACCACCCGATGAGTCATGTCAATATGCTATGTTATATTATGCCAATATTAATGCCAATATGATTTTAGTTATATCTATCAATCAATTAATTTGCTATCATGAAAATATAATCATTAATATAAGTATGGAAAGCAAGGAAATACATCTAACTTTAATATGGTGTTTTTATCCTTACATCTATTTGTATATCATATATATCCATATATCAATCTCATCTTATTTTTCATTTATTATTAATCATTTATTTTTATAGGTGACTTTCAATAATCATTTAAGAGTTGTCACCCTCTACTCATCGGCGTAACCCGGTCAATCGGTTACAAGCTACAACTATGATTACACCATTAATATTTTATTTAAAGGAAAGTTTGTAGGCCCACCCTCATGCATAGGTTATTATATTTTATGAGCCAACTTATCTTAGATATAGTATTAAGTGGTAGCCTTTCATACATGCAAATTATATACTTTTTATGTACAATATAAGTCAATATCATATATGAAATACTATAATTCAAATAATATAGGAAAATCTACCCAATTTTTCCGCAGTGTATTTACGTTAGAAAAAAATATATTCTAATTTGCCCAATTAAAATTTAATATGTACCAGTCAAAATGATCATATTGATAATATATATATCACATTCCAAAAGTTATATGATGAATGCTTTTTAAAAATTAAGATATCACTACTTTTGAATGTTTTAACCAAATTATAATTCATAAAACTCAAAATATACAATCATTGAAATGAGAGGTAAGGCAATGATTGCTTACAACATGACGAGTAACTTTTTCAATATGATGGACTAGTAAAAATCGCCTACTAACCTCCAAATCCTAGGTTCTTTTTCCTCTCTCCTATATTTCCCCTCTTATTTCTTTATTTCCTTTTCTGTTAGCAAATATAAAAGAGAAAATTGGCCCTTAAAGGATTCTGTAGTAGAATGAGATATTTAGGAATAACATAATATAAAAGATAAAAAATGTAATTATTCTATTTGTTAAAATTTTAGCTTAGAATTCTTATAATTTTTTCATATTTTAAATTCATATCTCCAAAACCAAATTATAAAATAGTTAAGCATGTCTAAAAAATTTTAGTGAAAACATTTTTTTAAAACGGATATCTAATGATCCCAAAAATCACTTGTATAAACATGAGTTAACTTTTTATAATGCCCTTAAAATTAGGAGAAAACTATTATAATTAAAGTTCAATAATATATACATGTGTCTCATTTTTTCTTTCTTTTTCAATCATATTCATTTCTTCTTTATTCCTTAAATTTCCACAATATATCTAAATATAATATTCTTCGCTTTAATTATTTCTTCGATGATAGTACTCTGATTGGTACTGAAACTTTGGTTCATTATAATACAACAAATAAATCCCCAACCTCCAAATTCTATGGATGCAATGCCTCTTCATTCTCAATGTAATTGTAAGTCAACCAAATTTCTAGATTTCATTTACTAGCCTCATGTCCATTTTCTTACATCTTCTTTATATTTCATTTATAATATTTCCGAGCCTCATTCATATAAAGAGGTAGTGCTTCATCCTCTTTGGTACCGTACTATGTTTTGGCACTTCTTTTAAGGGCACTCCTACATCCATAGATAACATTTTATCTTGATGACATGACTATTACAAGTAATAATGCATATGGTATTCCAATATTGAATTCTAAATTAGCTTTTCACTTTGTAATAAAAGATTTGGATTCTCTTTATTATTTTTTGAGTATTAAAGTAGCTCATTTTTTTAATAGTAATTTTACATCATAATATAAGTGTACAATGGCTATTCTTGATAAAGCTCGTCTTATTGATCTAAGGTGTTGATACTCCACTTGAGGTCAATTATTGTTATTCATATTTAAATACAATTATAAAGTGATCCCGCGTTATATCATAGAGTTGATAATTGCTTGGTTTATCTCATTAATAATCGATCGAATATTGCTCATTTTGTTCATAACATCGCTAAATTTTG